CATAGATGTGTGGTACCGGAGCCGTCATGGAGGAAGAACCCAGCTCACCAAGAAAATTCTCAATGTCCCCATTGGATGTACCTGTATCAGGCAGAGGCGCCTGAGACATCAGCTGTGATGTCCTGCCCAGTTAATGAGCCGAGACTGCTCCCTCTCTCTCTCTCTCCCTGTCTCTCCCCCACCTCTCTCTCTCTCTCTATTCCTCTATCTCTTCGTCCCTCTGCGTCTCAATCTTTCCCCGGTCTCTTCCATTCAACATCTGTGTGTCTGGTTTTTCTCTGTCGCTCTGTTTCTCTCAAACTGTTTAAAGCTGAGAGATTCTCTTCTCCCCATTCTGCTTATTGGGAACATCCTTCATGCATTGACCCTGTTAGAATTTTACAGGTTTCTATCAGATTCCTCCCCCATCCCCAACATCCTTCTAAACTCCCAGTGAACACCATCCTAACACAATCCGGTCTCTCTCTCAGCGACTGGTGTAGGAGGGACACCCAGCTCTCATCGTCTCCCCATCCCACATTCCCATCTATCGCCATCTGCATAACAATCCGCATTTCCCTGTTTTTCGCTGGATAAGTGGATAATCCAAACTTTATCTGCACCTGCCATCATTTTGGCCACTCTGCGTCTCCTTGTTTCTCCTCATCTCTCTTTCCTCTGTTTCCCTTCGTAGATCCCTCAGCCTGTAGCTACCATTATCTCTCTCCCCCTCTCTACGTGCCTTCCTCTCACGCCCGCTCCCCTTCTCGCCTTTGTTCCCAGGATGGATTATCGAACTGATGCCCTTCCCCTGAAATAAAATAAACTCAACAAAACATCAAAGATAAATCTCCATTGTAGTGTCTTTCCTGGCTGAGTGTGAGATGTGATCAGGCTGAAAAGCTAAAACCAAGGACTGACCAATGCATCAGCAAGAGGGCTCTGATCGGCCAGTTGGCCTGGTTTAAATTTAAACAACACTCGGCAGTTAACTGTCAGCAATCATCCACAAAGTTAGCGGGAAGGCAAGTGTGGAGAATGACCCAGAGAGTCTACAGAGGGATAAACACAAGGTTAAGAGAGTGGGCAAAAACCTGGCAGGTGGAGTAAAATGTGGGGAAATACGAGGTTCCACACTTTGGCAGGAAGGACAGAGGGGCTGGATATTATATAAACGGGGAAAGACTGCGGGACGTTACAGAACAGAATATAACGTGGGGGGGGAGCGTGAGGTTCCGCACTTTAACAGGAAGGACAGAGGGGCTGGATATGATATAAACGGGGAAAGACTGTGGGACGTTACAGAACAGAATATAACGTGGGGGGGAGCGTGAGGTTCCGCACTTTAACAGGAAGGACAGAGGGGCTGGATATTATATAAACGGGGAAAGACTGTGGGACGTTACAGAACAGAATATAACG